AAAAAAAAAAAAAAAAAAAAAAAAAAAAGAAAAAAAAAAAAAAGAATATTGTAAATGATATGCTAATTATAGAAATCTGTTTTAAGATTAAAGGATATCAGATTGAAATAACTTGTACAATTAAAAACGTCCTTACCTGTAGTAGTTTAGGATGTGTCGAAACATTTGCGGATCACGATCAAAAACGTACATATTCCTACGCGGGTTGAAGTATAGTTCCTTTTCGTTACTGCCGAGTAATGTCGATGGATGGTTCTTGAGATTTTCTTCCCACGTTTCAAATATTCTTCCACCAACTTGGATTAAGACTTTTTTTCTTGGTTCCCGTTTGGGAGAGCTTTGCACGCTCTCTACTTTGGATGTAGCTTTTTGTCTTCGAGTGTGAACAGTGCTTGTTATTCTTTTCTTCATGATATTCATGTGCTAAAGTACCTTGCAAAACGAAATAAACCATTCAGAAAAGCAGATCGACGTTTTGCTCTACTTCGAAATAATCTTCAAAATATTATCAATTCCAAGATGATTGATACTTTCAAAAACATTTTAAGGGGAAAACAAACATTCATTATTGAAGTTGTGCTTCCAAGAACAGCCTAACAAGACTCGCTAGCCGATTCCCAACATAATAAATCTTATGAATTAACAATTATTACTATTGGTCACGCGTAATTGTTTATGTTAAGATGGTTTCCTTGGAACAGCGTCACTTTTAAATGTGACTCAATAAGTTATTTTCACTCCGCAGTAGAACAATCGCGCTAAAACTTGCAGAGGAATGACAGTGGCAATAAGATGAAGTTTTATAATTTTTTTTCCAGTTTTCCAGCAGGTTGGCGGATGTCGACTAACCAAATATTCTTCTTTTTTAGACGTCTAATTATACGAATTTTCTAGCATTGATAATCAAATTATATGCGTTTATTCATTTCCTTTACGTGTCCCAAACGATGCTTGAGCATCTTCGAAACGTTTTGCGGTAGTATACTCTTGAATTAAACAAAGAAATTAAAGAAACAGTGTCCTCCGAGACACAACATCAAGAATTCAACTCGAGGACTATTATGTGGTTGGTAATTGTGGATGGTAGTGGCTACCCAACACATTCACAACTAATTTTGGTGGGTTCTAAGAGATTAATAATGCAAGGTAATAATGTCTTCATCAAATTATATTGTAAATAATATTCACACTACATTGTATTAATTATAATAACATTGTAGGTCCACATCAGCCCTATGGGCTGCCTTTCTTATAACCTACGTTAAAAATAAAACTGATGGTGATGATGATGATGATGATGAGGTAGAGAATGGACCGTGCCGACGTGTTAGAAATAGCATTGACTAAACAAAACTAATCCTGTCATTACATTACGTATTGCTCATGGTTAGGATGTTTGGTGTCAAGTTGTTTGAGCAGAGCAGAGCAGAGCAGAGCAGAGCAGAGCAGAGCAGAGCAGAGCAGAGCAGAGCAGAGCAGAGCTACAAAGCTGACTTGCATAGACGTAGACAGTGCGCCATACTTTGAAATGGTTTTCTATAGCATTGAAATGGCTTCCTATAGCATTGAAGTTATTTTCTATAGCATAAGATTGGCTCCCTATGCAAAATCCCGTGATATGGAAGTACAGATGTTGCTGACAACGTATTAGGCAGCAACATATGGATAGGCAGTCACGAAAGTTTTACAGCAAATCGTACGATATGTACGCTCATTAATACGAAACATTCTTCAGGGAAACTAGTTCAATGCTTTGGGCTCATCGTAATGTAGGTCCGTCAGTATGGACCTTTCTAATAAGTATCGTAGATGCGCATGCGCGCGAGGCCGGCTAACATGAAATACGAAAGAAATCACTCTTTTTCTCGACTGGAATTTGTGGTATTTACTTGGCATATTTTCATGTTAACCTCGCGTATAAAATCATTTTGAAAGCCATTTCAGTGATATGGTATACGCACCGCACGCCTAGCAGTGTGTCGTCCCAATGATTTTCCACTAAAATGGCTAACAATAACATTTAAATGGCTTTCCATTGTTTAGTTTCTTTCGTAATATTCTTTCTTAGGCAAAACGAAACATGTTTGTTTGTCACGAGTTCAGAAGTTATTCCTTCTTATTTTTCTTGCGCATGATTTTTCACATTTAAATTGTCTACGTAGTTTGATTTAATGGTTTGGTCTTTTAGAAACCCATTAAGTGCCATTAATTTTTGAAAAGTCAATTCATAGTTAAAAGAAAAATTCTGGAAAAAAGCAAACTTGATTACAAAGAAAAACAAGTTTACCATATCAATGAATACTAGAGACAGAGGGGGAGTTATCAATAATAGGCAATTTGACCAATCAAAAATTAACCACTTTAACAACATATTTTGTACGACTGTGTGAAAGTATAAGCCCGGGTATGGCTTGCTAGTCTGCAGTGCACTCGTGTTGTGTCCGACTGACATTAAAATGGGAAGCCTTTTCAATGCTTCGAGATATCGTACTATGTACCGTACCTGCTTTACAGTCTGTTCAATAAGTTTCCTATTCAGTATCGGAAGCCATTTCACTGCTATTCAGTATCGGAAGCAATTTCACTGCTATTCAGTATCGGAAGCAATTTCACTACTATTCAGTATCGGAAGCCATTTCACTGCTATTCAGTATCGGAAGCCATTTCACTGCT